GAATCCTGTTTTGTTCAGAGCTTTGTTTCCAGAATCTAGGATAGTGCCTCACACATAGGATCTCAATAAATATCTGTTGAATAAATGATATTCGTTACTTGCAACTTTTATATAATTCAAATACTTCATGCTTTCTAAAAAAAAGAAAAATACCTACTTTACTCATGGTGCCCCTTGATCATTGTAGCTGAAAGTCATACTACCTCCTCAACTCCTATTACCCATTTAACCTATTAAATTTTGCCACATATTATATACCAGAGGCCCGATGCACAAAAATTCATGCAAGAGTAGGCCTTCAATCCCCCGGCTGCTGGCACTGGCTTCCCTCAGCACCAGGGACCTGGGCTGGCTTCCCTTGGGCCGCCTGCAGGCACCCAGGACCGGGCTAGCTTCCCTCCAGTCCCAGCTTCGTCAGGAAGGATGTCCGGAATGACGTCCAGAAGATGTCTGGTCTAATTTGCATATTACCCTTTTATTATTATAGATGTACATGTCTTTCTTACTGACTATAAATTTATGAGGGGATTATGCCTTCCTCTTTATTCTCAATATATAGCACAACACCTTGCACACAGTAGATGCTCAATAAATATTGGTTATTTAATTGAAGTCATAGGAGACAATGGCAAACCAGGAAGGACAAATCTATGCTATTTATATTTAAAACTGAAAGAGAACTTAACAGGCACCTAGTGTTTTCCTACATTTTGCAAGAGAAAACAACTGAATTCTATAAAGGGGGAGTGATTTTCCTAAAGTCACATGATTAATTAGTAGGTTTCTAAGATCTAAATTCAGATCTCTAGTTTCCTGCCCTAGCTCTTCACAATATATCACAATGACTTTTATTTTCTGTTATGTCTGTGTGTGTTCCTTGGCTTGGGAGCCCCTAAATGGCAGGGACCAAATCTGTTCACATAGATACTTAACATGGCTTCTAGATAAATATGCAGGACCTGTACAAATGCACCTTACCAATTCAGAAGAACTTAGATTCTTCCCCAGCAAAAATCTGTTTGGTCATCCTTTTGCCACCAATTCTCCCTCAGAAGCCTGGACACTAAGGATCGTTTTCCTTCCTTCATTTACTGTTTTCTTTCTCCCAGAATAGGTTGGTTTGCTAATTAATGGCTTCACAGTTCTGCTGTCCCGAGGAACTGATTTAGTATGAGAAAGTGTCAAATCCACCCAGCCTCAGGAGCTTGAAATTAGCAATCATAAACAGAGGAGTTTAAGGCCTAAGAATAGTCCTTATTGGCAGTGCAAAGGTACCACTTTAACTTGTACAAAATTCCTTGTTGAACAGAAAGAAAGGGACTCCTAGAAGGTTAACTCTGGATGGAACCTTAGAAACCACCTACTTCTCTCTCCAACTGAGGAAACTGGAGCTTTGACAGGTGAAGAAATGTGCAGTTACTCAGGTAGTTAGTAGCAAGGCTGGGACTAGACTCCCAGTCTCCTGCCTCCAAGCCAGCTATTCTTTCCATGCCGTGTGCTGGCAACATGTGCATCTAGCAAAATGCATCATAGAGTAGCCTCATCTTAAACCATCAGGAGTGAAAAACAAATTATTCAAACCCTTCCTCTCCTCTCTGGCAATTATTTTTCTTTGTGTTTCCATGTGTCCTAGTCTCTCTCTCTCTTTTTATCCCTTTTATGTTTCTCTCTGTGAATCCCTCCCTCTGTTTGAGGTTTCAAATTGAGCTGTAGCATGCCTGCATGATTCTCTTGATTCTTCTTCACTAAACTACTGTGTCTTTCTAAAAGCAAACATGCATAAACCTATCAAGGCTCTTTCTTGGTGACCTTTGTGGAAAAGAACACGGAATTTCTGTATGAGAGGTGCTGGACCTCCCTCCTCGCCTATCCAGTCAATTAAAACGAGTCTCTGGCCCTGATTTGTTAACCAATCCTGAGAAAGAAAAAAATCAATCTCCTTTCTTCGTCACTACTGAGCAGGGAAGCTGCTAACCAGTCAGAATCTGCCGCCAAGAGTCATTAGAAAAGCTGGCCAATCAGGACAACCTTGTTACATGGTCTGGTAGGAAAAGGAAGGGATTGATTGGAAAGGATGGTTCTGGCTCCACACCCTTTCCTTCCTGGACCGTTTTCCCCTCACTGAAGTGAGAGAAGGACTCTTTCCCAAGTCCTCAGTAAAGAAAATCCCTAGGCCCTTCGCTAATGTTCTCTTGAATAATCTTTTCACCACTCACTCACATACCTCTGTCCACTTTTTGTAATCTCATTGTTTCCTTATTGATTTAATTTCTGGCTTCAGACCTAGTAGCAATAACCCCCAGGATTCTCAGCCTTCCCCACAGACCTCCAACCACCAACCATGTCAAATAACTTGTTTTGGATGATGGATGTAGATGAAAAAAATTACAGTTGAGTATTTTCCGCCATCATTGAAAGGACCTTGTAATAATGCCTCTGAGGAGCAGTGCAGAATTGAATGGCAATGTTAATAATAATAGTAATAATAATAATAATAACAATAATAATGCTGTTACTACTCTTACTAGCATTAGTTAAACTCTTACTGAGTTCCAAGCACCTTGTTAAAAGCTTCACGTTTATTACCCCCATGTTCGCTGTAGTGTACGCCCTAGTATTATTCCCAATTTACATAGAAGGTAGTCCATCTAGAGGGGCTAACCAGCTTGCCCAAGGTCACACAGGGATGTGGGAAACGAGGTTTGTCTGGATCAGAGCCCGGTGAAGGGGAGTAGGGGGAGTAGACAGGGCAAGCTGGAACAACTTTTGAGAGGAGCCAGCTCTAGCTCCTCGGAGCCCCTTCTGCAAACCTCCCTGGGGACTGTTAGCGGCACCCGAGAGGGGTCAGTGTGGTCCCAACAGCCGCAGAAACCGTTTGCGGGTAGCGGCCCTGAGAACCGGGAACTTTTTGCCTCGGAGGACAGGAAGCTGCGAGCTAAAAGGAACCCAGGGCGCACGGAGCGGGGGTGTCTGGGGACTGGAGGGGACACCCTTGCTCGCCTGCCTTCCCTTGTTCCTCGGCACCTGGCAGCGCCCGGCCCTGCTTGGTACTTGGAACCAGTAAATACCTGTTGATTGATTCGCAAGGCTTCCAGCTTCCTTCCTCACTCACCCTCGTCCCCCAAGACAGCCACTGGCCCTGGAGGGAGATGGGGGGTTTTCAGGGGAACCCGTGAGAATCCTCCTCCAGCTGGAGCCGCGGCTTTCGGACGGGAGGGGCGCCCCCCCCCCCCCCGCGCCCGCGTCTCCGATTTCTCCCCGCGCCTTCCCCCGGTTTCAGGAGCTCGGGGCCATAAAAATGCAGATGGAGGATCGGTGTGAAATAACGGGCCCATATAAATCCCTCTGCCGCCCGCCTGCAAGATGGATTGGCCACATTGAAATTCCTCCGCGAGGATAATTAAACTCGGGGCCTCATCCGGGCAAAATTACATTCCTGTAATGGCGTCGCTCGGGGTCCCGGGAAATTGCTCCGTGGGCTTTCAGCGGCGGTTTTTATCGCCGGCCGGGGTGTGCCTGGCTGCGGCTCGCCTCTCCTCCGGGACCGTAAAGCTGCTGCCGTGATTTATCCTCCCCTTCTCCCAAATCCGATTAAATGGAGGAGCTCGGGGCCGGGGCGCCGCGGGGCCCGGGAACCGGGAGGGGGCGGCGGGAAGGACGAGGCCAAGGAGGGGAGGACAAACGGCCCCTCCGAGGCCGGTGGGATTTGGCTTTATTTACAGCCGCAGCATTCTTTTTATTTTTTATTTTTTTATGGGGGTTTGGTGAGCTTTCCCCTGCTGCGTGCAAGCCCGACGCCTGGACGCCGGGGTCTGGCCAGGAGGGGACTGGGTAGGCCTTGCACCGCCTCTTGCAGGGGCTGTCAGACCCCGCGGAGACAGGGATCGGAGGCAGCAATGAGGGCCGTGGCGCCCCCACTTCCTTACGTGGCCCAGGGAAGGACAGGACGAGGGGAAAGCTGAGGGGTCTTCATAAGAGCACCTCTTTGGGGGTCTGCTGGTCTCAGAAGCCTGGGCAGAGAATGGGCATGCCTGGCGTGACCTCGCAACCTCACTGCAGGTCAGTTTCAAGATTGAGAGTCAGGTGCTTGAGTCCCATCATCTTTAGCCCCTGTCTTCTGGTTCGCTGATGCTAGTTTCCTCGTGGCTGATCACTGGAATTAAGAAAGAGAGAGAGAAAAAAATAAAGGCAAAGCCACCCGTGGTCTCTGGGGCGTGTTGCTAACTATTCCCCCATTGAACAGGTTTCCCATCCATAAAGCCAGAGTTCCAGGGGCAACAACGCAAGAATCCCGCTACATTTTGGGCACTGAACCCCAATCCCGATTGTATGCTATTTAACATTGAATTACTAGGTAGATTTTTATTTTCAATGTGACTACGCATGCTCGGGAAGGAAACGCGAGTCCAAGATCCCAAATGCTGTGCAGACCATACCGCAGGCCACATAACGGGTTGGCTTACACAGCGGAGTTATCCCTATTTCTGCAGCCGCTCCGCCTGCAGTTTCTCCTCTACAACGCCAGGTGGAGCGACTGGCCGGATGCCGCCACCGAGGTGGCAGGCGGCGCTGTGGCGCCTGAGCCGCCTCCACATTGCAGTCACTCTATCCTTGGCGGAGCGACTCGTTGGTCCGGGCCGCGCATGCGCGAAGCCTTCCTTTCGCTATTCCAGCCCCCCCGCCCCTCTCTGTCTTCTCTGCACTGGGAGCAGGTAAGGCTTGGGCCCTCGTGCCCGCTTGCGCCGCGCACGCGCGCGGGATACCCTCCCTCGCGCGGTTGCTTTGAGGCCGGTACCTTGCATGCTCCCACCCGGGGCCTCACGCCCTTCCTCGCTCCCGGTATCCCCGTGTCTTAAGATCTGCCCCTTCCGTGTGCCGTTGACCTCCAGCCGCGCGGGCCTGGCGCCATCTTGGATGACTCGCTGTGGGAGGGCGCGTTGGAGCTGGCGAAAGTCAAATGCCAGACTGCTCACTTCACCTGTCCTGACTCAGCCCTTACAAACGCTCTTTTCTTACCCTCTTGCCCTCTCAGAGTTATCACAACCCCTAGACTCTCCCCTCCAATCTCTGCTTTATCCTCTCATCCTTACCCCGTGCCTGCCTTATCCTGAAACCTCCAGACTTCAGGACCTCAGGTGCCGAGCAATGGAGATAGTGGATCATCCAAAGCCTCTAGTCAGCACCCCTCCATTTAAAAAAGTAAGCCGTGAACGTGGTAGAAGTGAACAAAACAGTCAAAACTGTTCAGGCTGTGATCTGGGAGAGCTATTGCAGGAAAGAGGCCGGTTTCTTTGGAACCTTGGGTTGTCTTCCAGTGCCGTTCTCTTCCTTTCACCGCGGTGAAGTTGGGGGAACACAGTGGACTGATAGTGAGGTTTTCTGTGGGGGCAGCAGGCCCAGAGGGTAGGGTGGGACCTGCATGGGATAATGTGCACCTGCCCGCTTCCATCAAGGGCTTAGTGAGAGTCCCTGACTCTGCCCTCCAGAGGAAAAAGAAAGTGTAAGGAGGGGATGGTGAAGTCCAGTAACTCAGTGACTGGTCTACAGGAGGAGGAGACCTGTGGTGACTTAGGTCCTGGGTTCCGGATGGTACCGTTGCCTGGGGTGTGGCAGGCGCAGCTGCAGACTGGCCAGGTTAGGTGGCCAAGGAGCAATCAGCACTTCTCGCAGCTCCTTAATTGCCACCCTTGGGTGTGGTCTTACCGTGGGCCAGCACCACATTAAGCTCTTTACATCAGTCATTCCATTTAATCTTCCCGAGAACTGCATTTTACAAATGATGATATTGAGGTTTAATCCTTGGGAAAAACCAGTCCTCCCTTTTTTTAAGCTTTAAAGAGATTTTGGATTTGACCCAAGAAAACCTGAATAGTTCAGCACAAAGTTAGGTTAGAGTTAAAGATGGGCAGAAATCGGAGTTCTTGACAGGATGAGAGTTGAAGACATCCATTAACCTAAAAGTAACTTAAGAGATTCTGGATTCAGAAGAGTAACCTAGGAAAATAGGAGTCCAGCTCCTTTAAGGAAGTGTCACTTAACAGGCCTAAGAAATCAGTATTTTAACCTTTAGCATGCTATAAAGCTTTCATTTATTAGTAAGAAGAGTTAAAGTCCTGACTTTACCATTGTCATAATTTAAGATTGGTTTTTAGATGGTGCCTTTATAGTATGGAATCACGTGGGAAGCTTGTTTGAAATACAGGTGCTGGCCTTAACCCCGGAGATCTTGGCCAGGAAGGTGTAAGGCAGCGGTTCTCAACCTGTGGGTCGCAACCCCTTTGGCGGTCGAACGACCCTTTCACAGGGTTCGCCTAAGACCATCCTGCATATCAGATATTTACATTACGATTCATAACAGTAGCAACATTACAGTTATGAAGTAGCAACAAAAATAATTTTATGGTTGGGTCACAACATGAGGAACTGTATTTAAAGGGCCAGAAGGTTGAGAACCACTGGGGTGAGACCCAAGAATATGCATTTTTAATACATACACCATCCTTACACCTAGATAATTATTTCAGGTGGGCCTCTCACTTCACTTGGAAAAACCCTGCCTTTAGATGTTTAACTCACCAGTACCTCTCAGATAAGTTCAGTTCTACCAACATAGGCACCTACAGAGTGTCAGCATTGTTTTAGATCTTGTGTATACAAAATTGAATGCCCCTTCGAGTGATGGTGAAAATGAATACTTTAACAGTGGTTGCTAATTAGAGTAATGGCAAAGTTCCTCATTGATCTTCCTCACCCTGTTAATTGATATAGGAAATGAAGAATCAAATGCTTAAAATAATTAGAAGATCACTGGCGACCCTTCCAGTGTTTTGGTCTTCTACAAATAACTCCCCAAAGTCTTTACAGGGCAACTTTGTTAGGCCCAGATAATGAGGTCTTGAAAAGGGTTCCTTTTGAATAGAAACTGAGGAAAACTTAGGCAAAGGACACTGAGCAAATTTCCTCTTGACAACCCCAACTCACGAGGCTATGGAAGTAAATAATGGGTCTTAAAACGGACCAGGTGGCTACTTGCTCAGACCAGGGAAGTCACTTGATTATAAGGAAATCTTGACTTCAGAGTTCTGATTCCATCTCTTTTAAGATGAGGTCAGTCACTCTGGTCTCGGGGCCATTTAAATTTTCCAGAGCCCCTTTTCTTCTAATAAAAATGTCATTTGGTGAGCAAGGACAGTGTTCACAGTGTGCTTCTGTAATTCCAGCTCCCCTCATCCCCTGAAAATGTATGCCTGCACCAAGTTTGTCTCCGCCCCCTCCTTGGTGAGTACCTGCCTTTTCTAGGAGACTTTTCAAGAGGGGCATCTTGTCTCTTCCTTGCAACACCTTATTCTTTACAGTTGGGCTGGGGGAAGATCCTTTGCTATGCTAGCCTGACAGGAGAGAGAATGTTTACCTGCTCCATATCCTTTGGAGGCCAGTTAATTCTTCTCGTCCACCAATCTTAGAAGAGTATGAATGAGAATCTAGACTGAGATCAGGTTATTTATACCCTAAAACTGTCTGTAAACTGGAACCCAGCCAGAAATGGTAAACATGAAGTAGATTGCCTAACTTGCATTGAGTATGCACTGTGTACAGGATTTTGTCCTGTCGGAGAGCCATAACTAACAGACCCTCTGGGAGCTTAAATTTGGGTGGGAAGCTAACATACATGTAAATACTCATTGGAAAAATCTTTTACTCAAAAGCTCTAGCATGGAAGAAATTACAAATTATTAAATGGTGGAAGTGGTGCTATTGGTGGGTACTATTTATTGAGCACTTACTATGCCTGGCTCTGAGTTTGCCAGTTTGTATACACAATCTTTTTTTGTTGTTAATTCTCACCCGAGGATATTTTTCCATTGATTTTTAGGGAGACTGGAAGAGAGAGGGAAAGACAGAAACAAAACACCAGTGTGAGAAAAACGCATCGATTGGTTGCCTCCTGCATGTGACCTGACCAGGGCCCGGCCAGGGAGGAGCCTGCCCTTGACTGGAATTGAACCCAGGACCCTTGAGTCCACAGGCCAACGCTCTATCCACTGAGCCAAACCAGCTAGGGCTACACAACCTTTTTTACTTTTCAAGTCAACCCTGAAATAGATTATTCCCATTTGAAGAGGAGAAAACAGGCTTATATATAAGTGACTATCCTAAGGTCACCCAGCTGATTACAGAGCTAAGATGAATCTAGGTATATGTTGTCTGCCTTGGAGATACTGGCTTGAGGTTAGAAAGGCTGACAGAAGGTGGTGAATTTACAGCATGGGTCTTCGTGCCTATCTTTAGAAGGATGTGTTTAGGGAAAGATAACTCTAGTCATTGGGTTCCTTCTTATGGGCTAGCCAGTACCAACATATATCTCTTATTGAGTGAAGCAAATCCTTCTGAGGCTTATATCTTTTCCCATTCTCAAGGCCTGTGAAAGGATACAGTGAGGGTAGCCCCTCAAAAAGTAGACTTCCTTTTCTTAAAGCAAAGGTGAAGCCTGGGAAGCAAGAGAGAAATGGTGAGGTTCTTCAATCTAGAATTAGCTAAAAGTAAAAGAATGATCCAACATTCTGATTTAAATTTGAAAGAATGAAAGGGGCATTGAATAACAACTTAGGATGGTTCTAAAACTCCTCTCCAGAGCCTTCCTTGACTTTCTTGCCCTTGTGTCATTCCTGCTAGGTCCGGAGCACCTCTCAGCTGAGCCGGTCAATGTCTGCAGTGGTGCTGAAACGACCAGAGACACTGACAGATGAGGTACCTTATAGGTGGAATTGGGCCTGTGGTTTGGGAGTAAGGAGTGGCGAGTGTTTACCTAGAAGAACCAGTAGGGGGAGTCATCACAGGAAAATTAGTGAAGAATCGAGGCCGTTGGTTTTAGGTGGAGATGCAGAGCAGTTGGTAGCATATATGCTCTAGCGTTCCAGCTCTGGCACTGGTAACACATGCTTATGTGTGCTACTGATGACTGCCATTACTTGGCCTAATTTACAGACTTCATTTGGAACATTTAGTCCCAGAAAGATGATCTCTTCGAGGCACCAAGCACGGGCTAGGATTTTGATCTTAGAAAGCATACTTGAATTTTAAAGGTATTTGAAGTTCACCTCTTGCATTAAAAAGTTTTTCTTGGCAGCATTTTAGGAAGTTTTCTAGAAAGTAAAAAGATTTTCTGGTTTTTTTGGTGGGGGGGGGGCATGGGATTTGACAGCATAAAGCTTTCTTTAAGTGTTACAAAAGTTTGCAAAGCAAAAGGGGATTCCTAAAAATTTTATCTCCTATATTTCTCCTCTTCACAGAGCCTCAGCAGCTTGGCAGCCCCACGTCCCCTGACCTCGCTTATTTCTAGCCGTAGCTTCCAAACCAGTGCCATTTCAAGGGACATCGACACAGCAGCCAAGTTCATTGGGGCTGGGGCTGCCACAGTAGGGGTGGCAGGCTCTGGGGCTGGAATTGGGACTGTGTTTGGGAGCCTCATCATTGGTTATGCCAGGTAAGATGGCCCCTCCATTTGTCTCTGATGTGTTTCCCAAAGGTTTGGACAGAAATATTTGGGGATCTAGAGCTACATTATCCTATATAGTAGCCACTAACCTATATGTGGCTATTTGAATTTAAATTTCAAATAATTAAAAGTACATCAAGTTTAAGTTTTTTGTTTTTCAGTCACACTGGCCGTATTTCAAGTGGTCAGTAGCCACATGTGACTAGCGACTACTGTACTAGACAGTGCAAATATACATTATTGAACAGCTTTGGTTTAGAGCAGGAGTAGGCAAACTAAGGTAGGTGGGCCATAACTCGGTTTTTATAGCTGAGCTAGGAATGGGTTTTACATTTTTTTAAAGGGTCATGAAAAAAAGGCAACAGAGACCATATGTGACCTGTAAAAACTAAAATATTTACTGTCCGGCCCTTTACAGAAAAAGTTTGCAACCCCTTGTCTAGAGCCCCTCTAGAGTCAGTAGGGTGTTTCACTGCTATTTTCCCCCATCTCTGAGAATTCCCCTCTGTCACTCCTGGGAAAACTGCCTCCGCAGCCAGGCCCACTGCTCCCTGACACTTGGGACTATTTGGTCCCCACCTATTCTGGGCACCTTGCTGTTAAAACTAAATTAATTCTCTAGAGGCCCTCAAGTTCTCTTAATGTCTTTGGAAAAATGAGTTTGTTTTAGGGTTTGTGTGAAACAAGAAGCCTAACTGCTTCTGTGTCCAGAATTCTGTTAAAAAGCTGGTGTTGCTTTACTTTACCATGAAGGCTTCCAGAAATGACAGAGTAAGGGAAATAGAAATTATATATTGGCTTTCAGAGTTGGGAGTTCCTTATACCATTTTGATTCATATCATCTAAACCCCATAGGCCAGTGGTCGGCAAACTCATTAGTCAACAGAGCCAAATATCAACAGTACAATGATTGAAATTTATTTTGAGAGCCAAATTTTTTAAACTTAAACTATATAGGTAAGTACATTGTTATTAACTTAATTAGGGTACTCCTAAGGCTTAGGAAGAGCCACACTCAAGGGGCCAAAGAGCCGCGTGTGGCTCGCGAGCCGCAGTTTGCCGACCACGGCCATAGGCTATCTGTAACTTCTTAAAGTCCAAAATCTTTTGACTATTTTGAAATGAGAGAAGGTAGTGTTTTCCTCAGACTCCCTTGTCCTCTAGAACACTGTTTTTCTAATTGTGTTCTTAAAGCCCTAAAGTTCTGAGGGTATACCCCAGAGACTGACTTAGAAGAATGAAGGGGAGACCAGTCAAACAAACTTTTACAATCCCCCACTTTTTTTACCTTTGCATTTTGGCTTTTATATGTTTCGTATTTGGGGGTTCTGCTGTTTAAAGTTTGAAAATACTATGATAGGCCCTGCCACTCCAGATACCTCTTCCATCCTGGTTGGGCCCTGGATAGGTAAGTGTCCAGGCCCAGAGGTCTTAAGTTATGACAATGATATGGGTGACCCAGTAGAGGTGGTAATGTTCATGCCTGGGCCATGTTACACGATTTTGGATGGTCCACTCCCCTCATTTAGTCTCTGTAGAGCCCTTGATGTGTCAGGTCAAGAATTTGGGAATGATAGTATCACCCTGAGAGAATTGTTTCATAAGATGAGCTTGAGGAGATGAATTCTCCCTGAGCCCACCTTTGATGTTTATACTTTTCTTTATGTGGACTAGAAATTCAGTCTTTTTTCTTCCCCTTCTCCCAGGAACCCTTCTCTGAAGCAACAGCTCTTCTCCTACGCCATTCTGGGCTTTGCCCTCTCAGAGGCCATGGGGCTCTTTTGCCTGATGGTGGCCTTTCTCATCCTCTTCGCCATGTGAAGGAGCCGTCTCCACCTCCCATAGTTCTTTTTCCCGTGTCTTGTCTGCCCTGTATGTTCCTTTTCCTATACCTCCCTAGGCAGCCTGGGGAAAGTGGTTGGCTCAGGGTTTGACAGAAGGAAGACAAATAAATACTGTATTAATAAGATGTTTCTTGAGTCTCCTGTGTATATTTCTTTTCCACAGTTGGCTGAGTGCCTTGGTGAGAGTATAAGGCCTCAAGGGTGGTGATGATTCTAAACTCAACATGGGTCTTGCCTCCCTTGTTCTTCAAGCTGTGTCAGGGACAGCTTTATTCAAATTAGGTAACAATTTGATAATAATTTTCACCTGCCATGGCCTGTTACTTGATTGGGTCAGTGGCAGCTTAAGTGCTTGCTTAAAATTATGACTAATGGGCTCTCTGTTCCCACTGTGGCTATCCTGGCTCAGTCCCTCATTGCCACCAACCTGGTCTGTTGCAGTAACCTCATAACTGGCCTGCCTCTAGTCTCTTCCCTTTAGCATTTACTTCTACCCACCACTGCCAAGTCAATCCTCCTTAAGCATAGGACTGGTTTTGCCATTTACCAATTCAAAAACAGTCTGACCTCAATTTTCTCAGCTTCATGTTTTATTCCATACACTAGCAAAAGTGAACTAATTGTCATTTTCTAAATATTTCACCTGTGTTCCTGTCCTTCTATCTTCAGGCCTTGCCCTTTGGCCATCTCTGCTTTCTTTCTCTGAATCTTTGCTCACTTTTCTCTTTTTCAAACTCTCCCTATTATCCTGAAAGATGTAGCTTAAATGCTACCTCTTCCTCCATGAAGCTCTTACCTGGTTTCCATTCACCATCAGTCAAATGAACATTAACTCATAAAGGACTGTAGAATACATACATATCCTTTATAATGCTTATATGGTCTATGATAAATTATGGATTTGTATGTGCCTTATCTTCCATATTAGATTGTCAAGTTTCTTGGAAAAAGACTATGTCTTGTTCATCTTTGTATTTCTAGAAATATCTCACATGGTGCATCTCAGCAGTATCTAGTCACATTTTTTTATTTAATTATCTAAACCAACCACCTCACTTCATAAGTGAAACAGGCTTTGAGAGGTCAAGGACTCTCAGGAACATTCACTAGCAAAGCTAGAACTAGAACAAGGATTATGTCTTGTAGCCCAGAATGTAAGACTGCCATACTGTTGGTTTCGTGGGACTCTCCGAAGCCTAGTGTTGCTGGTGACTTATTTTTCCAAGAAAGAAAGGGCAAAATAAGCAAACGAATCTTTTCCCTTAAAAACGCATCAGTAGGGCCCTAGTGGGTTTGGCTCAGTGGAGAGAGTATTGGCCTGTGGACTGAAGGACCCCAGGTTTAATTCCGGTCAAGGGCACATGCCCAGATTGCGGTCTCAATCCTCAGTAGGGGGTGTACAGGAGGCAGCCAATTAATGATTCTCTGACTGATGTTTCTATCCCTCTCCCTTCCTCTCTGAAATCAATAAAAAAATATTTTTTAAATCAATGGGAAAAATAATCCTTGGATAAGGATTTAAAAAACAAAACTAAAATGCCATCAATAGGGACTTGGACAGTGGAGTTAGTATCAGGTTGGTAAAGAATTATATTTTCTAAAGGCTAGGTCAACCTTAAATAAGCTTTATCTTATATCTGAAATAACTGAGTAAATAAAATCCTTTCAGAAATGATAATGTATATGACCACAATGTATTTTATTTTGGTTCAGTTGATGACTATAAAATTAAAGCCCAGAGCAGAGGCTTGGTCCCAGGCTAGACAGATACTCAGGAAACAGGTCACCCCAATTCATTCACCCTTGCCCTTTTGCTATTGTGATCAGGGGTTGATAGGAATCCTATCTAGAGTTGGCTTTCAGATTGCTATACTATCCCCAAATAACTATTCTGGGCTGTGGGGCTCAAAGTGGACCTCACAAAAACTTCTCCAGTCAAGAGTATGTGGAAGGTATCTATATATTTGGAAATGAGGAATACCCCTCCTTTTGTTTGAGTCCCCTGAGTTTGAACCTCTGTTAGGAGCCTTAGTTGCCCATCCCTTTCCCGAGTCATCAGATCAGAGTAATCTATTTTCTTTCCTTGACCCTCTCTTTGGGATTGAATCTCACTAACCCCCTAACCACTTAGGTGCTTAGAGACAGCACAGCTTGGTGGCCCACGTGTTTTTGTTCTCTCTTGAGGTGAATGATGAGATAGTGCTGCAAGAAGCTTGGAAGCAAATTTCTTCAAGAGGAGTCAGGCAACCTGGATCCTCTTTCAGGCCCCAAGAGAGATGGCAACACAAGTTGCCAACAAAAAGGGGTGGAGGAGTGCTGTGTTTTAGTAGAGAGGGCCCAAGAGCAAATTTGCTGAAAATTTTTCCAATTTTGATAACATGGAGTGAAAGCTTTCTACCTGTCCTTGTAGTTAGAAAGTGCACATGATTTGAAATTAGGAGATATTAGTTCTAATCTCTCTTATACCACTGTCCATGTGACAATGAGCAGATCACTAACCAATAACTTTTTCTAGGACCTCAGTTTCTCCCAATATAGTAAATAAGGATAATAATTCTCATCCTAGGAATTATTTGTGTGCAACAGAGTTACACTGAGTATTTGGAAAGGATGGTGCCATCAAAGTCTAATGTTTATTGATTTTAATTTGCTTTCTCATTTTTCATGGGAGTTCAGAGTATATTATGGGCATTTTCTAGACAGCTTATCCTATTAGGGTTATCATAGACCATCTAAAATTTAAAGTCTGGCTGTAAAGCATATGGGGAGAGAATTCTGGGATTCTGAAGGCAGCAAGGCTTACTTCCCTCTTATTCCTCAGTTTCAAGAGTCAGTTGTGTTTCTTCAGTACCAGGGGAGAAGTGTCTAGGTTTGTGCCTTCCTAATCAGAAATCATCTAAATGCTGAAAAGCGGTAATGAACCCTGTTCCAGTCTCCCTTTCAGGATGGATTTATTAGTTGGAAGCCTTTTCAGATCATCATGAGGAGAGAGCTCTTAAGGAAACAACTCTCTTGACTTAGCTTAAGTTGGTGTCCAGGAACCTAAAGGCTACTCTGCCTTCTTAATTCCATTCAAGAGAGATGACATGAAGGAATATGTGAGTTGAATTCTGAAATAGACAAAGAAGAGTAGCATCACACTGGTGAGTACAGAATATTGTCCTAGTCCTCCAAGTTTTGAGCAATGAAACTTTGTCTTTATTGAGCTATATCTAAAGATATGCATTTTCCAACATGTATTAGAACACACTTATGTTCTGACAGTTTGATGAGGAAAAACTAAGACATGGGAAAATTTTTTTAGTCCCCAGGCATTCCTTAAAATGTCTTTATCTCGAGGCACTGTGAGTACTAGTACATTGTGATTAAAGCAGTCACTTTATAAATGGCAGAGTACATGATGGATAGAATACCAGGGATAAGGTCAGGCCTCTTCTCAAATACTTGGCTTCTCTTAGTAGTGTAAATGGTTAGATAGTTTATTCCCACTTCTTCCTCTCTCCCTAAACCCCAAAAGAGATCATTTTCTCTCATCTTTTAAATAAGTGCTATGGTAGGCAGAATTTTTTAAATGACCTAAAATGTCCTGCTCTAATCCTCAGAACCTGTGAATTTGATTGGATATTATGCCTATGGTTATGTTGCATTACATGGCACAGTTGACTAAGGGTAAGATTGTCCCTGTGGACCTGTTCTAATCACATGAGCCCTTAAAAGCAAAGAGCTTTCTCAGGCGCCAGGAGAAATCAGAGAGAATATGAAGGAAGATGTGCCATTTCTGACTTTAAAGATGGAGGGGACCATATGCAAGGACTGGAAAGTGGTCTCTAAGAGCTAAAATTGAACCCTAACCAAAAGCCAGCAAGGAAATGGGGACCTCAGTCCTATAACTTTAAGAAACTGAATCTGCCTGGCTGGTGTGGCTCTGTGGTTGAGTGTTGACCTTTGAACCAGGAGGTCATGGTTCGATTCCTGGTCAGGGCACATTCCTGGGTTTCGGATTCGATATCCAGTAGGGGGTGTGTAGGAGGCAGCCAATTAATGAGTCTCTTTCATCATTGATGTTTCTATCTCCCTTCCTCTCTGAAATCAATTATATATATATATATATATATATATATATATATATATATATATATTTTTTTTTTTTTTTTTTTAAAGAAAGAAACTGAATTCTGCCAACAGCCTGAGTGAACTTGGATTCTCTCAGAACCTCTAGATAAGAGCTTAATCCAGTCAGTACCTTGACTTAGACTTTGTGAGACCCTAAGCAGAGAACCCAGTCAAGCCTGCCTTGATAGATGTGTTTTATTATTTTTCAATTACAGTTGACATTAAATATTTAAGTGGCTGTTGTTTTAAACCACTAAGCTTGTGGTCATTTGTTATGTAGCAATAAAAAGCAAATATAAGTGTAGTCTTCTAATCTGCAAAAGAAATGAAGTTTCATCTGAATCTTGCATTGAAAGGAAACTCTAAAATTTGACTTCTTTGACCCTTCTAACTTAATTTAATCTAGCTCAGAAGGGTTCAACATAAAAAGACCTTTAAGCAAAAATTGTATGTCATGTTCTTTTACTATAGCTATTTCATTTGTGTGAAGTAGATATTTTTTTCTTATTTTAACAGATGACAAAACTAAGACTCAGGTTCTAGAACAGTGATGGCGAACCTATGACACGCGTGTCAGAGGTGACACGCAAACTCATTTTTTTGGTTGATTTTTCTTTGTTAAATGGCATTTAAATATATAAAATAAATATCAAAAATATAAATCTTTGTTTTACTATGGTTGCAAATATCAAAAAATTTCTATGTGTGACATGGCACCAGAGTTAAGTTAGGGTTTTTCAAAATGCTGACACACCGAGCTCAAAAGGTTCGCCATCACTGTTCTAGAACCATGATTTAGTCTTCGAGGTTATCTAGGTAGAAAGTGATAAAACAGAATAGAAACCCATTACCAAAACTTGTATAATGCCACATCACAAGGTAGGACCGCGATATCATTGGAGGAAAGGGAAAGACAAATCTGGACAGTTTTTTAGATTTTGTAGTGAAGGCTATTGACTTGCTTTTCTTTCTTTGTTTTGTTTTGTTTTGTTTTGTTTTGTTTTGTTAATCCTC